TGAAACACCATGACACACCATGCGCCAGTCAGGTCGACAGCATGGTTTAAATTTTCCCATGTACCTAATACGCCATGGAGAATATTTTTCCAAATTATCGTGGGGAAAGTGGCAAAAACTCAGAGGTGGATTTGCACACCATGGGACCACATCACCATGCAATCCCATGATGTCCCATGCGCCATGGGACCACCCATGGCTTTTTGGGACTGGGTACAGTGAAACGGACGAAGTTTTTACCATAGGACTCTACTTTGATGAGTTACCCCTTCGGAAACCATAAAAATATATTTTCAAACAACGTCTTTTTAGGGCTTGTTGTTTTTGATTTTTGAAATATCCAATTTTTGAGCTAGAATGCTCATCTTTGAACTCGATCTGTTTTTTTATTGTACAAAATGACTCTGAAGTCGCTACTACAATTCGTTCTCGGCTTATCGTGCGGACACACAGACGGACAGACAGACAGAAAAAGATTTTTTCCGACTAGACGGAGTTATAGGCTTCGCTAATCGCTCAGCCAAAAATTGTAAAAAAACAACAAAAATCATAGTATTTTTATGCGTCAATGAACTCTCTAGCAAAATTGTCTAAAGTGCAGTAGGACTACTAACAATTAATTCTACGCAGACTGTAGGGCACTCAGTATTTCCGGAAACAATAAATTTCAGCTCAATGCCATACAAAATCAGCATGACATTTTTCTAGAATCCCTAGAAAACTGAAAAGCTGGGGTATTAAGTATGGTTAGTTTAGAGTGGTTCAGGGATCTGAAACGTTTTTTCATTTACGTGCTAAGCTGAAGCTGAAACGACTTCGGGGCGTGCCTTGCTAGCCTCATGCCACAAGACGCACGTGTTCACGCTCTGGGCTCGCGTTGGAGTGCTGCAGCCGCCATGCCCCACACCCCCGCGGGTCGCCGGGTCGCCTCGCCTACCCTGTGTAATGGGTTGCTCCGAGCCGCGGTCGGGATCACTGCGAGGTCTGTAGGAGAGCTTGCGGATGACGGCAAGGGGTCTGGCCGGGCATCGACCCAGCACGCCGGCCCCTGCCTCGCACCCACTCGCTCCCGCCCCACCACAACTCAGGAGGGATGCTGCCGCGCCACCGACCCTCGCTCCTCGGAGAGCTGTGCCGTGCCGCTAGCCAAATCAAACCCTCATCCTCCACGTCCATTGCAGCCTAAATCGGTTGGTTTGGTCCTCACACCCAAAAAATGAGTTGGCTTTGGAGCAAAAAATCCCTTATTTAGTAAAGAACAATTTTTTCTTTAAAAATTAGAGGAAAAGATGCTCCTATTAATGGGAAGGTACATTGCATCATAGAATTCGACCGAGGGGGTGTTGTACTCGGAGTTTTCGTGAACCGTGTATCAGACACTACGCAGGGCTGGCAAAAAGAATTAAATAAATTAGCTGAAAACAATTGTCCTCAGCTGAGCTAGGAAAAATTTTGCCCAGGAGAAAAAGTCATTAAGCTCTTTGGAATAGGTTTGGACCTGTTTAGGACCATAAGCATTAGATTAGAAAACAAAATTATAAGAGAAATCTGTGATTGAAGTGCTGCCGGGTTTGGTCCGACTGGACTTAATTTAGGTAAATCCCAATATGATATTATCGGAAGAATAAAATGTACTTTAATTCTACCATTTTAGAGCAGCATTCATCCGATATTTGCTTATTTTGCGATACTACACTACGCGTAATACCTAGTTGTGGTGCAAGTGAAAATCCCCTCTAATTTGACAGAATTTGATCTGAACAAATTAATAAAAATTCTTCTAAATAAGGTCAATAATGTCCTGGCCCCCTTTCAAAAACAGTGTTCTTGGTTCAAGGACTCAATTTCCAGGCTCAGCTGGCTCCGGGTTGTCTGCTATAAGTAGTAGACAAACGACCAATTAATTTATTTCACTTTTCTTACTGCTCCTATTTTGACGATCGAGCCCTCGCTAACTCTCACCCCTCCCCCCCCCCCCCCCCCTCTCTCTCTCTCTCTCTCTCTCTCTCTCTCTCCCTCTCTCTCTCTCTCTCTCTCTCTCACTCACTCACACACACACACACACACAAACACACACAATCCGATGCTTACGTCCAGTTGCTACCTCTCTCGCACACATACACACACCCGCGCGCGGGGCAGACGCGCAGAGGGATTGCCCAGACATGTCCCCGTGTTCACCTCTGTGGTGAGCCACAGGGGGAGGGGGCCCGGAGAGGAACCGGAGGGGGCCGTAGGGTCCGGGGAAGGGGGACCGGATAGGCGCAGGGGCGCGCATTTCAATCCCCTTTCTCTATCCTTCCTGCCCACCCCGCCGCCGGCCAGGCCGTGTGTCTCTGTGGGATGGAGCCGAATCCACTGGGGCCCGTGATCCAACGTGCCTTTGCTACTAGTCCTGCTGGGAGGTGGGGAAGGGGGCAGGGCAGGAGTGCCCTGCGGACGTAGCGCACCTTTAATACACACATAAACCGCAGCTGAGCTCTAGGTGACGTTCAGTTGGTTCAGTTATCCCCATCCTAAGCACCTATTCAGTTCCTCGCTACGCATTATTTCAATAACAACATCAATATGCCTTTTTATGCTTAAAAAACTCACTAAACAACGAGCATGAGTTGAGCTTTTTCCCCTCTGTTCTGGGAGCTCTGTAAAATCGCCTCTTTCGACCGTCCCACAGCGGCCGCGTGCAGGTAAGAGGTGGAGCGAGGTGAGCCTCCTCCCTCCCGTCGGCACCTCTCAGTCGGTTAGCATAGACCCACCACGACCAGTAGAGTCAGCCGGTCAAAAAGCACGATTTTGAAGAGCTTTGTCTTCCCTTCCTCACCAACAGAGACTTATTGTCTAGTAGGAGTTTACTGAAAACATTAATAGTATGTAGTTACCAGGATCTTAGTAGCAGCTACTAGACAGTCTAGTAAACTAGGAACAAAGAATGTAGTAAAAGGTAGTATCAAACTAACAGCATATTAAACCCAATCCTAGTACATGTTACTAGACCGTCAGGTAATTACTCAACTGAGGTGAAAGGGGGAGCAGGGCGGGAGATGCTATTTTGCGTGGGCTCAACACAAACTCAGGACCTCCAGAGTACGATTGACGAACATCGACAGCCCCGTTTGGCAATAACTATCAGTGAGGGGAAGAGCAGAGAGTTGAGAGCGCCCCGCCTATTCACTGCCGTCTCTCCCGACACGCACCGCAAAGCATTCCAGTAACCTGAGAGAGGCGTTTTGTTTCACCCAGCATCGGACTTGCAGATTATACGGTGGATAGGGGGACGGGGGAGGGGGTCGGACGTAATACCCCCCCTAATGCGATTAAAACATGCCCTGATGAGCGCGCCCGCTGCAGGCCAGGTGCCGTAGCTGCAGCCGCAGGTCCACGGCCGAGGAGGGCCCAGAGGACGGACATCAAAGCAGGCACGTAGCGCCCGCGTAGCACCCAGCACATTCCAACGCGTGGCGAAGTGGGGCGTGGTTGGTCGAGTTCACGAGCCAGCGGTGTGACTTACACAGTACACGAGCCCCACACAGGCTGAATCGAGGTGATTCGGAAGTCAAATCAGGGTCGTCAACTCTGATTTTCCTTCGTACCGGGCTGACATTACACCAATATTAAATCAATTACAGACATTACCATGACATTATGCTCTAAACTTTTTACTAGAAAAATTGCCTAGTCACTAAGTTTTGTGCTGTTTGTGCACTACCAAGAAATTCTCAAGAGAGAACTAGGAAAGGACTTGGGTTTTGTAAGCACACGATTTCGAACTAAAGGTAACATGTTCTTTAGTTCTGCCTTCACAAGACTGTACTAATATTTGGATAGTTACCTCGCAATCGAAAATAATTTGCTTCATGCTTGTTCGGATTTGGAAAGTTATAGACAGAAATTCGTCGAGGGAAGCTCTTTTATCTTATTAAGAAGGATAGACAAATGTTTATTCAGTTGCTAAGCGATATACAGTCAACACGATGAACCCGCAAGTGTCTGCACCCTGCTGACGCTGTTCGGGGGAAGCGGGGGGAAAGACCAAAGTAGATGAGTTGGGCCGGCTGGTACGAATAAAGGAGTGTGTGTGAGGGAGAGAGAAGTTAAAGAGAAAAGGTGTGTGTGTGTGTGTGTGTGTGTGTGTGTGTGTGTGTGTGTGTGCGAGAGAGAGTGAGAGGGGCAGATGAGGGAAAAGGGGAAGGAGGCAGAGAGAGGGAGAGAGAGGGAGAGAGAGGGAGAGGGAGAGAGAGAGAGAGAGAGAGAGAGAGAGAGAGAGAGAGAGGGGGTGGGGGGCGGGAGTAAAAGGAAGGGCAGTAGAGGGAAAAGGCCCCAGCATGAAAGGAGATCCCTGGCAGGTCTGTAAACGAAATGTGCCATCACTTCACTCACCCAAGCTGTCCCCTCCCTCTACCTCCCTCCTCTCTTTTCTCTTCGTCCTACCTTTCAACCAAGCTGGCCGGCGCGGGAGAGTGGGTTTGGTGAATCGCAGGCTGTATCGCAGCCGCAGGCCTACGAGCAAAGTGGAGTTTATTGTGCGTCAACCTCGCAGCAGACAGGACCGCCAACGCAATAATGGGTGTACAATAAGCACCGGCATGGAGAGAGACAGAGAGACAGACGGACGGACAAACGGACAGGGGACAGGCCGATGGACGGACCGACAGACGAGCGTACAGACTCGGCATGTGTGTCCGGTGCCTGAGTGCTATGCTCTCTGCTGCAGGCCTTTGACACTCATGGCAAATGCACTTCACACGCGCGGTAAATACTCACAGTCACTCTAAGCAGCAGCGGGTCCGGTCCGACGCAAGCTGCGTCGGGTCCCTGAAACAAAACAGAGACGATCTAAAATCTAACAATGGAGGCATCGAACCACATAAGTATGGCCTTTGTGGTGTTTCAGTCTCAACAGAAGTGGGTAGGTTTACAGGAAAATTTTCCTTGACGCAAGTTGTAAAATTACAATTTGATATCGTAAAAATACATGCAGTATGTATCGACTTCAAATCCCTTGGCGAGTAAAACATGTGCTGTCGTAAATTTAAAACTTAAATTATAATTCGAGTTTACAAATCTTTTGTAAATTTACGATAATATTTTTCTTAGTGTTACTAGACCCTTTGTATCCGACAATCCCAGCGGAGCAGTCGACAACTAACACACTCTGGCCGCAACAGGTGGGGGTGAGACGTCAGACGTGCTCTCCACCAATAGGACCGCGCGTCCATCTCAGAAGTCAGCTGGGATACCAATTAGCTCGACCAGGACCAAACCGTTACCCCAGAGTTGTGAACCGGGCCGCATGCGGCTTGCAAGCCGTAGAAGGCGAGCCCATGTCGCCAGCCGCGAGCGTCAGGCTCGCACCTCTGCAAATCTTGGTGCAGAACGGTTCTACAGTTGCAGTACCGAGAACACGGAAAAAATAATTGGTCGGGGCATGGCCGCACTTCTGCATCCAGTACATAGTATGAGCAAATTAAAGGAAAGGGGTCGGTGGACCACCCTGCTGTACGTTATTTTGCAGTTCTTGTAGTCTCGAACTTTTTTGTTCGCCACATACAACTGCAAAACAAAGAGTTGGCCACGTACCGGGTATAACTGTGAATATGCAGCAGTGTTGCGGGATTGCATACTCAATATGGCCGCGGGCGCCATGGCCCCTTACGGGTGTAAAGAGTACGCAAACCCGCAACACTGCTGTGCATTCAGTTACAGCCGGTACAACCATGGACTAGTTCTGCACTTAGACATTGCTAAGGGGTAGGGTAGAGTGGTGGTGGTCTAAGAGGTACCAATCCAATAACTGCTTCTGACGCGCGGGCCAGGGGAACGCGGTGCGTGCGGCTGGGGGTGGCCCCCATCCCCTCGCAGTGGATTAGCCGTGCCCGCCGCTAGGGGGACACTTGGGGGGGATCAGCGGCAGCCAATCACGGAGCACCAGCGGTTTGGTGTGGCAGTGGCCGCACGCGCCGAGGCGAGTCTCTTGTTAAACATTTCACTCGCCTCATTTTTCGGGCATGCAATATGCAGTCGTTAAGTCTGTCTAGACTGGGGCTGTATAACCACGACCCCTGCCGCTGTATTATTCAGCCGCCGTCCCAAATGTGACGTGCAGTTCCACCCGAACGGAGGCCAATGAGATTGGGCCGAGGGGGTGATCAGTCATGCGAAATGTGTACAATGATTTTACGGAAAGTGACTTTTTTTGACTTTTTTGTGACTTTTTTGTGACTTTTTTGTGACTTTTTTTGGGGGTTGTACAATGATTTTTCGAAGTGATCCCCCCCTCGGATTGGGCCGCAATCCTTAATCCTCCCCCCTCCTCCACACTTTTCATCCGCGTCCCAGTCGTTGTCCTCTCCGGTGCGCAGGTGCGTTCAGGCGCTTGTCACCCCCGCCTGCCCCCACCCAGGGCCCAGGGCCGCCTTCCGCTCAATACAATGAGGCGTTCCGTGCTCCTTCTTCGCTGTAAAAACTAATTTTAATTTTGCGGGGCAAGAGGGAAAACTTTGAGGAACTCCTACCTATAATATGACCAAAACTCCTTAGATTTTTTAGGAATTAAGTCTCCTCAAAATTTAGGGAAGATCCCTATATTTTGAAAATGATCCATCCTCAAAATCTGTTGATGAGTTTTTCTTAAACCTGAGGCCTTCCTCACAGTTTTCCCTCCCCTAAAAATATCAGACATTTGCTTTCACCGTGTGAAGTGGTAGCGACTCGACGAAAGCTCAAGATAATCCGATTTTAGGGCTCTATGCTTACGCAACTCTTATCCCCATTTAGGGACAAAACAATAAAAAAAAATGGAGCACCCTTTGAACGTCACTTATTTATCTACAACGGTAAGTAACGTGTGCTTAGGTACTAACTCGTATACACTTTTATCTGGAGTGATGAGTGATTCCCTACTCGCCCTCAGTTTCTGTCAGGAAAATGAATCAGATGCAGAGAATTGTTCCGTTAGCGTTTTGATAAGAGTAACGAAGCTATCTATGGCCTGTAAATTTCGAGATTGTTTCAAGGCACTTCATCACACACAACAAAGGGCGAGTAAACAGTGCACACCTCCTGAGAACATGCACATGCGCACCTCAAGGCTCTGTCCACACAGACATGGTAGGCATCCACTGCACACTGCACAATGTAACGAGTACAAGTACCAATAATAAATAAAATCCATAGAATAATCTATAAAAGTTCAATGTACTCTTCTGTCGAACACCCCTTTCTGCCACGTGGTAATTTTTTTTAGAAACTTGAACACTTAAACGAATACAGCTTTCTAATTGAACATTTTTATAGGTGCAAAACTATGGTCTTGAACGAATGGAAGTATTCAGATCCTGATTGCAGTTTACACTCACAACTGTTGAGCGCTTTCTTAATCAGCGTATACACATGAGACAAAAAAAAGTTCCGTTCAGGAACGGATCGTGAAAGCAGATGATACGAATTCAAGAATTATTCCAGACTATAATATTTCAGTGGAAGATCACGGGACGCATTACTTGCTGAAGTATACAGCTAATTTACAAATCTTAATTCACATTTAATTTAATATTTATACATAAAAAGATTTGGGTTGTGTTCTGTGTCTCCTATACTTTGTTAAGTTTTGAAGGGTCTCAGACATAGTTAGTGTGAAGAGGGACGTAGAGACAATTTCCGAGTTATACTTCTCAATAAGACATGGTTTGAAAATAATGTTTCTGAATTCATTTAGTTTTGTCTCTTCATAGTGAGGTTAGAGTTTGAATTACCGCGTTCCTCAGCCGAGACGGTCCGAGCTGAGCTCCGAGCCGAGCTTCGAGCCGAGCGACGAGCCGAGTCTGCCGGAGGGAGGGGGAAGGGGAGGGGGGCCTGCGCGTAGCTATGGGCTTTGGTTTGGTGGCACGGTCGGACGGGGGCCGCATCACGCGCCCCTACATACCCTTCTGGTGCCTCTCAGCGCTCCGCATGAGAGTACAAGCAATGATACATAGTTAAGTAAAGTATTATTAATTTCAGTTGTGTATAATGTATCATCTGCTAAAAACACAATCACCATATAAACCGAGTGATTTCAAGTTCACAAATATTTTTCGGCCCTGTGATTACATTGAGAGGAGTGTACACCACAGCTTTATTTCGAAAGGAGGTGTCCTGCTGCTTGTCCTCCACTAATTTTGAAGCCAGCGTCCCCGTTGGATGACAAACCGTACGAGGGAAAGAAGAAGAAAGAGAAGCGGAAATGAAAAAAAAAAAATACTAAAAAAAACGAATGAAAAGGGGGGTAAACCTCGGTGGTGGTGAGCCGTGGCGGCGCCTGCGTCCACCCCCGCCCTGCGGCCCTGCGGTGCGTCCCTCGGGGCGGCCTCCTTTAAAAAGTTTTGGTGCAGTAAAAAATAATGGCCGCATGGCTCTGCGGCTGGGCTGGGTGGCGGGGTGCAGGCGAGGCGCGACACGCAACCACCGCGCCCAGTGCTCGACCCCTCGCAATAAGGATCCCTTATTTAAATGAAGTCAGCAACCCTTCCCATCTTGAGTCACTCCTCCGAAGGGAGCGGTACCTTGAGATCTACCGCGCTCTGGACAAGCAGGATGATGTCCGTGGGTAGTTGCATGTGGGGCGATCAGCCCCAACCCGCACCCGCCACGAAACCCGGCCGTGGGCAAGGAGCTGAATACAATCTGAAGTGGGACCCCCACCCCTTTCATGTCCAGGACTCACATGAGACCACGGGAAGGTTCACCCCGAAAACAGCATTCTTGGCTAGGTTTTTTCAAGCTCATTTTCTTAACTTTATTTTCCTTTCTTAATTCAACGAAACTTTCCCTAATTCAAGAAAATTGGCGTCAATAAACCAAGAATAGCGAAAACAAGCTGAAATTTGCCTCGACTTGATTCCAGAATTGACTTAAATCCTGGTGAAAAACTATATTTTGCCCCTCCCCCACTAACTCCCCCACCGACACACACAAGCCCACTCAAAAGGCAAAACTCGAAGGAGAACAGAAATGCGTGACTGTGTGTGGAAGGGGGCGCCACCGGACTGGACACGTACGGGCCTCTCCAATTTACATTCACAAATTGCCCCCTTTTCCCCTCCCTTTTTTTCTCCTGTCTGCTCCCCACCTTGCTGATGATGCGGCAGGCTCCAATTACTGACCTGTTTAGAGTCCCCGTGAGGCGCAGGTAACAACACACGAAACAGTTTCGTTGTTTTTTGTTTCGAAACAGTTGAAAGCAATAAATGAGAAAAAGCAGTTGTTCTCATTAGAAAGTTGAGTAGAATATCCAAGTGTAACACACTAAGAAAAACCTTGTCAGAATCTATTACTTTTGAACATTATAATTCGGTTAAGTTTTGAATACTCTGTATACTTTTTATAAATACACAGAGAGAAATTCAAACTCGAAACGACGTCGATCGACGTCGAAGTCGACAATTCGTCGATTTAGGTTAAAAACCCCAACGAATCGACGTCGATTTCACGTCGATCGATGAAATCGACCATATTTCGACGTTGCATTTCTGGCTGGGATAAAATCAAATATCACCCCTAACTACAGTCGCGTGCATTTCACAAGAATTGTATCCTCGAATGCAGCATGAATAGCATAGCATGTTAGGCCAAAGAAAAGATTCCATCATTAAGCTCCAGAAACGACTTGCTTGTGACGGAAAGTGTCTAAAAGCCACTCCTCTTTTCTTCCGGTGGCCACCGGAAGGCGAGCTGGTCGACTCGGCCCTTCTCCCCACCATCAGGAGCCAGGCCAAGCCCCGGAGATCCACCTTGATCCGCAGCAAATTGAATGAAATCTCACTGATGATGACTTATGCAAGAAACAGCTGGACCGCTCTGCGTAACGGCGGGCCGTTAGCGACTAGAACGATAGCCATCTGCGGCAGAGCAACTGTCTGTCTTCCACGTCAGTCTCGTTCCGCAGCTCCTGGCCTCCTGGCGCGGACGAAACCTCAGCCTAAAACGCTATTATTACGTGGGTGCGACACGCCGGCTTCTCATGTCACCCTAACCGCGCCAGTACTTTGCCTCTTGCTAGAGTTGTCCAGTTGATGAAAAGTTGCATCTCGCGTGAACCATCTGCCCCGTCTGGGCTCATTTGTGTTCTTGCAAATGAAGCGACCTTGTGACATCTCCAACAGCAAGTTGGTAGCTGGCCACAGTTTGCGTCATCCGTAAGGCAATTTAAAGGGCTTTACGCAAACATACATTACTGTGTGAAGGCGTTTTGTCCAGAGGCGCGCCCTGCCCAGAGCGCCTGCGGCCCGGAGCATAGGCCGACCCGCCGCGCAGGCGTGCGCACTGCGCGGGAAGCGGTCTAGGCCTACCTCCCAGGGGCCCGCACTGGGACCAGCGGAAGCCCTCCACTAAAAAAGCGCGAGACCGCTGTGTCCTACCACGGCGCACGAGACTACCCGTCCTGCACGAAAAAATCTCACTGCAGACCTCTATCGCTGAGTGCTCCTGTAATAGTATCACTGCATTTGCATTTTTATTTCTGGAGAACTCCCCAACGGCTGACGATCCTAGTCTACATCACTGTCGCACGAGGTCGGAGATGGTAGCGCGAAGCGAGCGTGGTGGCTAGAAGGGGCAGGGGTGCAGGGGGAGTAGGGGTTATAAGGGTGTAGGGGGGAGGAGGGGGAGGGGGTCCGTCCATTCCACCCGATGGTCCCAATAACGGACCGGGTCACCTCTAATGCACATCATTATGGTAATATTGGGAATCAGCTCGTGACGCCCGGGAGTGGGTCGTGAACGCGTAATCAGATTATTTACCAGTCGCGTATAACGACACGGCGCATCAGGGGAGCGGGCCGAGCTCCAGAGATAGGGCAGTACCCCCACCTTTACCCAGAACGGTCAAGGAATAGTGTCTAGGTGTTAAAAGGTAGCACGTTGCTCTTTTTAATAAATACAAGTTTGAGCAGACTCCGCACTTTAGTCTTTAGTAACGTTGTCCCAGCAGCTTATTATAGACTTGCATGTCTCCCCCTTACGGAGTCTGCTCGACACCCCTCCTACACATCAATACCTCAGAGGAAAAACCGCTCAGTCTGCCAGGGCGCTACAACAACCGCTTAGTCTGCCGACCGGTTTTGACAACCGCTCATTTCGTGAAGGCGCTTGGACAACCGCTCAGTCAGCCGACCCACCTCAACAACCGCTCAAATGACTTTTTTGACACTTTTCATGTTTTGACCGATTCCGACTAATTAGACCATGCTCTTTTCGATGGTGCAATCAAATTTTTTTCGTCAAAAAAGTCAGTCCCAGCCGCTCCGTTGAGCAAACCTGGCGCATCAAAGCGTCTGATTGCCGCTAATGAGTTGGCAGCACCGATTGGCACGGATCCCGAGTACATGGCCACGACAACTCGACCCTGTCCAATCACAAGTTGTCCATAGGCTCACCAATTTCCACTTCCGCCGAAATTTTCAACTTATCAATCATCCTGTTGCAGGTTCTGCGTGGTCTTCACTTGCCTAGTGCTCAGCGTCTTCTCCACAATAGACACATACGTGGAGGTCGCCAGCGACATTCTACTCAAGACGGAGATGGTGGTCGTCATCTGGTTCGTGATTGAGTTTGTGCTGAGGTGAGTCCGGTCTGACCGCGCGAGCCTGTCCTTCCCAAACAGAGCCATCAACTGCACGGAATATCTGTCCAAATTGCCTCCAGGTTGTGGTCGTCAGGATGCCGTTCCATTTACCAGGGTGGCTGCGGCCGCCTCAAGTTCCTCAGAAGACCATTTTGTATCATCGGTGAGTCAAGGAGAAGCAAAAAAATATTACTACCCTGGAAATTACTCTGAAAATGCATGCCATGCACACATTATTTGGGATGGGGATTTTCATTCACATTTTATATGCAGAGAGCTCATCACTAGGGGTCCCCCACTTCCAAAGTAGGTGTACGAGTTGGCGAGTTGACAAATTGGTAGGATATAGGCGCGAGATGGACGCATTTTTTCAAGAGTTAAGCGCAATGTTTCGTAAATTTGGCGCGAGGTTTCGTGATTTTTCGCGAGTTTCCGAAAGTGAGACGCGAGTTGGACGCGAGCAAGTGTACAACGGTGGAGATCCCTCGGCATATCATGCACTCTTTTTACGTACAGAATTCAATGCTTACTGTTATGGGTTTTCTATGAGTATAAAAACCTGGGTTAATTCAGAGGATTTTTCTTTCTTTCACATTAGTTTCGCTAAATACAATTCTAGAGACACATGAATAATCATGTTCAGAATTGTCTTCAAACTGTTGAACATATTTCTTGCCTCCTATCTGCAGACATCATCACTATTTTGGCCTCGCTCGTGGTGCTATCCATGGGCAGCTCCGGCCAGGTGCTCACGGCGCTTCGCGGCCTCCGGTTCTTCCAGATCCTGCGCATGGTGCGCATGGACCGAAGGGGAGGTACCTGGAAGCTGCTCGGCTCCGTAGTGTACGCGCACAGACAGGTGAGGTCTTCAAAGTACATGTCAGAAGGATTTCTACTTATTCAAGATTTTGCTAAGTTAGACGAAATATGCGCATTTTGTTCTGGCGCTTTCGAACCGTTTCGGCTTCCAGGAGCTGATCACGACGCTGTACATCGGCTTTCTCGGCCTCATCTTCGCATCCTTCCTTGTGTACCTCGTAGAGAAGGAAGCCGGGAATAAGGGCTTCGAGAACTTTGCCGATGCTCTTTGGTGGGGGGTGGTAAGTACTGCTGTCAACATGCATCTGGAGGTAAAAGGTTGAACAGTTGAACATATGAACGCGTCACCAGCCACGTGCACGCACGCCAGTTAAAACTCTAGGACATTCCCAAAGAGAAAAGGATACTTGGTGAACGGACATAAAGACGGACATGGGTGATTAAAAAAGAAACCTATATATCCGTTCCAAAGCTTTGTTAAATCGTCTGGATTGTTGTCCTGTCCCCACTTTGATTCCTTCTGACCCCTTTTGGGGTGCTTCGCTTTACTATGGCTACCACGAATGTAGGGGAAATTTGCCACTGCTCGGGCCACGGCCACTTTCGTCTGAAAGGCGGCATTTTAGGGGGACATGGCAGAATTCCAAGGTATTACGTGTTATTATGTCAACATTGCAAGGTATTTTCGCACATTGAGTTGATTTTCTGCGTTGTAGCCCTACGGAGCTACAGGGCATCAAAGTTGTTCCACGAGGTTGAGACTTCTGAGTTAAGACGCCACTCACTGGAATGGCTGGGTTTGAAGAATATGCACAAGTATAAACTATGCCCATTAGAAAGAAGGGCGCGAAGACTCACTAACTTTCGAAAAAGCGGCTAACAAAGAGCCTTTTTTTAGTGCGTGACTTTTTCAACTCCGTTCCCGCTGCTTTTAAGCCTGTCTTTCTCCTTTTAAAAAAGCATTAACACTGTTTTTCAACGAATGTGACGTCACATTCGTTTCAATGTTAATCGTGTCACGTTCGTTTGAATGTAGTCTTATTCGTTTAAACGTGAATCGGCCAAGCCTGGGCGCCATTAGAGCATCACCTCACCTGAAGTTACGTTTAAATGAATGTGACACAATATTCAAATGAATGTGACATGTTTCACATTAAAACGAATGTGACGTCACATTCCTTGAAGAACAGTGAAAGCGGGCTTATGGAACCGCTCTCGTGTCCGTCCTTCTGTCCGTCGTGTATGTAAAAGGAAGAAGATGACGACGCGTCCGTGCAACAATATCCTATCTGTTTCGCTTCCCCGAAAGACTAGCCTATCTGTTTCGCTGCTCCGAAAGACTAGCCTATCTGTTTTTCGGCGCTCTCTGCATCGCTGTCTTCTTCTTATTGTGGGTTTGCCAATATTAACGTTAGAAAAACAGTAAAAACTGCTTCGTGTTCCTTAAGGATCAAGGAACCAATGGCAATTTTTCTTTTTTTTTCTAACGTTAATATTGGCAAACCCACAATAAGAAGAAGACAGCGCTGCAGAGAGCGCCGAAAAACAGATGGGCTAGTCTTTCGGGGCAGCAAAACAGATAGGCTAGTCTTTCGGGGCAGCAAAACAGATAGGCTAGTCTTTCGGGGCATCTAAACAGATAGGATATTGTTGCACGGACGCGTCGATGAGCTAGAGGTCTACAAATATAAGGGTATCTTGGGACCACTCCTGGACACCGAATGCCTGCAAAGAAATAGGGGTTGGTCCAAAAAGTGGGAAAACATATTTTTGATAGGTCTGCTGAGGGGTAAAACGTGAAGGAAGACCCATTTAAACCAAAGTCCTGTTGGCTCTATTTTGCATCGTTTGGGTGGTAGAGTTGTTTTATGACGAAAACACTTTGAAAATGAACACGCTGTACATAACCACGTTCAAGGAGGCGTCAAATCGAAAAATGGCAGAGTAAGTACCACTCGAAATAGTAGCATCTTCTGAATCGAAAACTGTGCCTTCAACCGTATCGAAGCTAGAGGAAGATATATTAAAAACAATGGCAAAAAGTCCAATTTTGAGACTGTTTGAAACGAATACTAGCTGAAAACTGCGCTTGTTCATTTTTTCCAATTACTTTTCAAGGCAGAAGGGTGGGGGTGGGTCACTGTGTCACACCGTTACAGTCTTCTTTCATGTTCAAGGAGCAAATCTTCAGGGCCGCAGGACCTCCCGGAAAGCACTAGTTAACTCAGTGACTACTCACAGGCCACAGCCCGCCTGCAGGCCAAGCTAGTCCCGGCCCCTATCGAACGGAGTCGCCTGTGGATCCAAGTGAAGCTGGCAACTTCATTTGGCGGAAGGGCAGACCTAGCTTGTTTCATACCCTCACACATAATCGGGTGTCCTTAAAATGCCTTTTGAAATGCGTGAATGCAATAATGTACTATGTTGTTGAAATAAATGCAGCAGAGCAAGTTTTGCCCCGAGGGCCGTGACAAACATTTTGAAAAGATAAACTTCGGTGACTTCTATTTTTCCAGATTTGTGGTCACACCATCGTTTAACTTTAAGGGGGGGATCCTAATGTAAAGCAGGGCTGTTTTGGGATTTTTCTTATCAAGAAACTACTGCACCGGGTTGAAAATCAGTTACACCATGTATTAGGTACTTCTTTTCTATACAAAATCCACGATGGGTGTTGCAAATATCCCCCAGGATCTGGAGACATAGCCTGCTGGTGTTAGCTCCCCGCGCGTAGAGTGAGCTGATGCAGGGCACGATTCAGAATAGGGCTTTTATTTGTACTCGGGTACCCGGAAAACCCGCTTACCCGGGCACCCGGTTTGGAACCGTGTCGACGGGTTTTCCCGGGTAGACAGGTTTTCGCGGGTACTCGGCGTAATACCCGGCTGCTCCGCGCCTGGAGCTAGGCAATTTGACATACGAGCATGTAAAATTGCCTACTTGCAGGCGCTATTCCACCGGGTTTACCCCGTTGACCCGGTTCCTACCCGGGTTACCGGTACCCACGGGTCGGGTTTTTAAGAGCCTTAATTCAGAACGAGCGGTTCGTCTAAAACCGTTGCCCAACATTGCTTCTAGACTCGGAGGGACACTGGCTATCGCCCAAACCTCGAATAACTTAAAGGATATAAAACTTTTTCCCACGTTTGAACTGTATATAGAGAAAACATGCGCAAAAACGCATAATTTGTCTTTCTCAGTGAAGGGCACTACTGATATCGAAGCCCATGGTTAGGGCGATAGCCATATGAAAAAGACACATTCCGATTATTTTTTTTTGTCGCGGTAGGATCATTGGTTTGGACGTAATCGTGCCCGCCGTCAGCTTCCGCCCGACGTCAGCTCGTTGCATTTTCGAGCCAAGGGGGTCTGGCCAAATACCCTATGGGAGTTTTGTAGGAGAAAGAAGTATGTAATGAGTAGAGAATTCTGTGTTACCGCAGGAGGAACAGTTTCTTCACCAAAAAAAACAACAAAAAGGCCCTTTTTGGGGCCAGTACACTAGGACCCCTCCTTAAAAGTGTAACTTGGGGGTGCTAATTGACCATATCCAACTCCCGAAATCCATCTCATAGACGATGGAGCTTTGTAAAAGTTAAAAATGAACATTTTGGACTGATTAATACCTAAAAAAGCACGTTCTTCATAAAAATTTCCCCCACATCAGGACTATGACATGCGTTGTCTGGTATACTTTCTATGAGGCAAAAAGAGTAGGCAGCAATGGTTTACTTCTTCTTTACAGATTACGCTGTGCACAGTCGGTTATGGCGACGCAGTACCGTCCACATGGCAGGGAAAAGTGATAGCATCGTTCTGCGCTCTCCTTGGCATCTCCTTTTTCGCACTACCAGCGGTAAGTGAAAACACATACACACGCGCAAACGGGCTGGCGGCACAACCAGGAGCCCCGTGCGAAGGAGCAGATGTACCACAACCTTCCGCTTGCAATTCCCAATACCACGCGTCCTTTCTTCCTAAACCCTGCTCGGCTCCACCAAAAAGTTGGAGCGGCCGGTGTGTTTGTCATGGTGGTAGTGCTGGTGGTAGGACTGCTACGTTACGCAAGGCTCGCTTCTCTCGAATCTTTCCACGTGTGGGCTCTCCCTCCCCGCATGGCTCACACCGCTGCGGTGTGCCGTGGCCATACCCGTGTAGAGAAAAACCCAGTAAAATTGACGTAGATTTGTCGTTTTTTAAACTACAATTTTACGACGAAAGAACGGCAAATTTCACTTTAAAATTACGACAAAGTAACGACTTTTGCGTTTTACGTAAATTTGCCGTTGAGTTGTGTTTTTTTTTTTTTTTTTGTCGTTAAGGCGTACATATTAAAGACGAAAAAAACACAAATTTATCACAAGCAGGTGTGTGACGACGCAAAAACGTGGCAGCCAGTCAGAAGCGAACGGGAGTCGAACCGCCGCTCTTCTGCTGACAACCGGGCACTGTATCCACTCGGCCGAGGTGACTACTGAGTGCCGACGCGTCCGCTCGCCTTGGAATGCAGCGCGCTAGTCACACGGAAAAAAATAAAAAAAGGTTCCGTGCTGCTCGATTTACCAGGCAAATTTGGCACGCCTGCCAAAAATAAAGTAGCGATGGGATAAAATATTCAGCTGTACTGCTAAATAGCATTTAGCGATACAGCTGGTGCATTGCTTCACTTTGATGTACAACCGTGTACAACTAAAAGTTTACCACTGAAGCTAAAAAAAATATAAAAAAAATCAGCTGGGCCTATGCTGACGAATTTTTTGCACCAGTTATAAAAAAATAGGTAGGGTGCTACATTCTTTAGTAAGCGGACCCCTCGGCACTCAGGAGCCACTTCAGCCGAGTGGATAAGTACCAGATTGTCAGCAGAAGGGTGGCGGTTCGACTCTCCCTCGCGTTTTGCTTGGTTCCCACGTTTTTGCCCGGCCACACGCGCGCTTAAGATAAAGTTGTCGGTTTTGTCTTTGAAGAGTTCGCTTTAACTACAAAAACCACAACTCTACAGCAGATTTACGTAAAACGGAATGATCGTTATTTGTCGTAATTTTTAAGTGAAATTTGTCGTTCTTTCGTCGCAAAATTCTAGTTTCAAAAACGATAAATATACGTCAATTTTACTAAGTTTCACTCAACACGGCCAGTCAAGGAAACATAAACATTATGCTCCTTGAGCGCCAAGCACACTGTTAACAATAGCTGTCACGTAATGAAATTTTGCTTCATGACAGTTTAGTTTCATTTATAGACAAAAATGTCGTTTTAAAACCAAACTTCACTGTAAACACAATCGGTTGTATTGAGACAGTAATTTTGCTGCTACTTTCTTGAACTAATCGGAACTAATGACCCGTGTTCTAGGGCATCCTCGGTTCGGGGCTGGCGCTCAAGGTGCAGCAGCAGCAGCGCCAGAAGCACATGATCCGGCGCCGCCAGCCAGCCGCCAAGCTTATCCAGAGCCTGTGGCGCTGCTACGCCGCAGACGAGCACTCCATGTCCACCGCCACCTGGAAGATCCACCAGATCCCATTGCCAAGTCCACCCTCGTGAGTATTGCAGTGAGGATATGCAACCAGCACTAGACACTACGTGGCACACACTCAAAATGTAAATGAGCCAATTTTTTCCTCATTAACGGGAACGCTATGCACAACCAAAACAGATACAAATTTGCTCCTTTCACTGCACCGAAAGTGTTAAGTTATACACAATATGTCCAGTTTTAGAATCAAATTTGTATCCGGTCGGGATGCACTGTAAAATATTATTTTTTAAAAACAAACATTTGTGTGGTGACATAGTTGTTGAAAAACAACATAGTTATTTTTATAAAAGGCGCTGTTAAATATCAACATTAGTTGGTTCCTCCACAAAAAATGTTGTACTTTTACAATTAACTTCTGTAACACAAGTAATGTTGTTGTACAACAAAATCATCCATCAAACAAATTAGCACGACATTTTTACTGCTAATTTACAACTTTTATTTTTAACACTGTGGGCAAAGAAAAGGTCCCTGAACAAACTTGTTTCTTCCCATTTTGAGTGTGGTTTTAAACTGACTGTGCTACCTGCTGTCGATTAACTTGTGGTTCGGCGTGTGGCCTAATAGGGTCGACACATTTCTGGGTGCTTATGAATGGAATACCGTCCCGTGAAATGGAGAAATCCCGAGCTCTATGTGAACTTTGTAGACAATTGTGAAAAAACAAAGCAAACGGTAGCAAGAGTAGTGTATAGGACGCGCATGCCGTATATTCAATCGGGAATGTCCTACGAATCAGCATTTTGCGGATTCATTTGCTATCAAGGAGAAGGTGGCTAAATAATTCAGTTGACCCGGCATTAACGTTCTCTGCGATTGGTTGATGTTCATAGTCACATGAAGTGCACACACCATATCTTTTCAATAACCTTCTGCCAGTTGCCTCTGTGATGAAGCCAAAACCCATAGGCCTTGACACCTCACACTGTTGCTTTCATTGATATTTGCTTGACAGAAACTACCAAAAGACGTACTCTTGCACGTTATTATGAGTAGATGTTACACTGTTAAAGAGTGGAGAATCGTTGCACCATCGTTGAAAACAATGGACAATATTTTCGTTTCAAATATAAATAAACCCAATGAGCCAAACTGACTAAGAGTACTCTGTACATCCAAAAGAACAGTACACCTCTTGAATAAGTAGGACGAAGCGGTGCAACACACATTCAAATTATAAGTACTAGAAGTTTACTACGGTCACATCAGTATTATATTTAGCCCCATATTAGACTCCATATAAGACTGTTCAAATTTTAAAAATTTTCAAATAACTTTGAATTAAGAGTCAAAGACAGGGAAAAAGGAATATGAAAGTAAAATTTAAGTGTCCCGTTTTAGATAACGTTTTGAAAAAGCTATTTACAGTAGTCACAAATTGAATTTCAAAGCTAAACATTTTATGAAAATTAGGTTTTTAGATAATCTAGGTAATGGAATTGCATACGTTGGTAAAGAATGTATTCAAAAGAACGCCAGTGTATTTTTCTGCATTGCATGATTTTTTCGTTTTTAAGATATAAGATGATTGCTGCACTTAATTTTCTACACGGAGGCACAACGGGACATTCTCTGAACCATCCTTATCCCTCACTCATGCTCCTTTCCTTCTGTGTTTGTGTTTTTCCACCGCGCATAAATTTACCGATGAAATGACGAAAAACAAAAAACAAAAAACAAAAGGATCAAGGCCCAAGAGGGGTCGGAGAAATCAGGTCCTGGAAACCCGAAGAAGATGCAATCTCAGAGCTCATCGTCCTCGCTGGTGTAAGTCCACGCAACGTCCGTAGCGGGTCTGTGCACGGCCCGCGCACAGGCCGTAGAGCGAGCTTGACTTAGGGGGCAGCTAGAGCCGCTTGCGAGAACCCTGGGTTGGTAAAGAATGAAAGCAACGACCACGATAAAAAGTGGCAGTGAAACAAAAAAAAATGTCGGTTAACTTAGGTAAAATGATTCATTAAAGGCAAGCTTGTCACTTGTGTAAAATTAAATAAAAATACAGAACTGGAGGTACGTTACCACCTGCTCCTACGTACGCATGTGGGCTGTTTTTAGCGAAAAGCCAGAAGCAAAGAGGCAACTCCTAGGGTCTAATTGGCAAAGTTACAACCCCCCCCCCCTTTTCCCTCAAATTAACCCAAACTATTTTCACTCAAATACAAGAAAGTCTTTTAATAATGAAGAGGAAAATGGCTGTCGCACTCTCCAACAGTCGCCCGTATCTCCTGGGCTCCCTCTTCCAGCGACTGCTGCCCCTATTAGCCTCATTGTATGCCATGCCACGTACTAGATGTATCAGAGCGAATAGTACCACACGATTGTTGAGGCTTGCATACCCTCTTAGACTCAATGGGACGTATGGCCACCTACGAGTATAGTATGCAACGCAATAAACCAGCAACATTGCACTGGAAATGCAAGATACTGTTATATTTCTCAGACGAGTAACAACGTATTCACAAATATGCAAGTGTGCGACCACATATTTTCTCCGCCTACAAATGTGCGACAGACCATGCACACGCTTGTAGGCGAGTAACCGGCAACGTTTCCAATTTGACGCATCGGTATTTAGTCATCTGTATAAGCATGTGCCATTTCCCATTCGCAGGTGAGAGAATAGGCTGTCACACACATGCAGGGTTAAAATGTTGTTGCATGCCTGCAGGTGTATGGCATGTGCAACGTTCATGCACTTGGATTTCCAGTGTGATATGTTCATTCTGAAACACCCACGGTGCATACTGGTACAGGCGTAAAACCGAGGGGTCCCCCACTCGCCAACTCGTTGTACACTTGCACGCGCCCAGGGCCCGACTCGCGCCTAACTCGCGTTTAACTCTCGACAACTCGCGAAAACTCGCGCCAAAATCGCGCAAAACTCTCTAAAAATTGATCCCAACTCGCGCCCCACTCGGGGCAACTCGCTAACTCGACAACTCGTTGTACACCTATTTTGGAAGTAGGGGACACCTCGCGTAAAACGCCCCGTGTAGCTTTTTTGTTTTGCCTCCACAGCACTTCTCTTTAGATTTTTGTGTTTAAATGCTTTTTCTTAGTTCTTATTTTTGATTAGCTGATACAGGGTCTAACTAGTTACCAAAATGCTCTATGTAGAGAAAGTAAACAGCGAATGCTGCAGTGGGATGAAAGTTGTACAAGGGTGTGTGAACAAATTTGCACTGTGACGTAACCGGGTGACGGCAACAAAATTCGAGCTGAAACTCTAAAATTAATCAGTACAGAATTCTGTAAATGGTTACGAAGTAATTTTATAAAAGATACAAAAATCTGTTATCTTTTACAGATTTTGTATATGTTACAGGAGTCTGTATCGTTTTTGATACAGAAATTTGTAAAAAGAGTGATACACAGTAATTTTCATAACAAAGATTATTTTTTTTTTTTTTTTTGAAAATACTCTTGGCAAACCCTGCTTTCTCGTCATCCGGCTGGATTACTTTGGAAATGGTTTGATAAAACCTTATCCATAACTCATTTCACCCAGGCGATCAATTTACAGGTTAGACAGTCTAGTCGGATATTGAAACTTGTAAAGTGGGGATGTTCTCGAACTGAACAGTCACGTCCAAAACTACACACGAACGAGTGTAAAAAGGGTGGCAACTAGACGACGGGTCGTAATACCGTCGTCCGTTCTTCCCACGACGCTCCATCGTCGTCCGATCTCCTTTTGACGCGCGCTCAGCAGTCTTTTTTAAATTGCGAGGAGGATGATATCGGCAGTAGAAAAAAAAGTAAAAATTAACAGGTATTCCTACAAAATCAAGGAACACGAGACTTTTTACTTTTTCTCTTCTGCCGATTATCCTACTCTTAATTAAAAGAAGACAGAGTTGCAGAGCGCGCGTGAAAAGGAGATCGGACGACGTTAATAGAACCCGTCGTAGAATACCCTTTTTGTACTGACAACCTCTGTTCACCTTTTACCCAACTCAATAATGAATTTTATGAATGTAACTGCAAAAGATACAAAGATTCGATAACTGACTGAAGAAAAACGTGAGATAAAAATGTCACTATATTAGTCGCTACAGCTAATGGATACCTGCCTCCCTGCGAGAAAGGCTTGGCCGCGCGACGGCTACTGAAAACGGCTCAGTCGGCGGGAGGCTTCCAAGAAAGAAGTGCTAGGAAGAATCTGTGGTCTAAGTTTTACATTTCTGAAAACGGCAGATGATAGGCGAAGCATTTCTGCGTCGTTTGCCGTTTTCAGAAAATGAATATCTTGGACGCTTCAAACGCTTTAAACGTGCAAGTGCGTCGCGCGGCCAAAATGCAAATGAACTGAGTCTTTCTTAGCAGCCTCCCGCCGGCCAAGTCGTTTTCAGGAGCCATCGCTCGGCCAAGCCTTTTTCAGCAGCGGTCGCTCGGCCAAGCCTTTCTCGCAGGAAGGTACCGTACTACAGTAACACACAGCCAAAACTAGAGTTGCAGCCTTAGAAAGCCCACTCTACTTATTTTTAGAATGACACTCTCACCATTTTTGTTTGTGGTTTGACTATTTTTTTCTGAGGTCGATTTTAGAAGGCGTTGGAAGCCTTCGTAGACCAGAACGTGAAATGAGTGCCACTTTAACTTTAGAACATTAGCCCAGCCATAGAGTTGAGAGGGATTCAGCGCCCACTGCCCAGTCGAGCTAAGATAGCTGTATTCTTGTAAGTAGTATCTAGTCTGACCACCCCGGCCACCCCGTGTGCTTCTCCAATTCCAGTCGCGTCTCTTCCAGTTTCAAGCACAACGCCTCCTTCGTCTCGCGGCTGCCCACCATCCGGAGACATAAGAGCACATCTTTCCACCACTCGCCGTCCGTGGCCAAGGCGGGCCAGCCCAGAGGGTTCAACGACTTCAATGCCTCCGTCGAGAACCTAGGTGAGTTGAAGTACTCTCACACTTTAGCTTGTTCCACAAATCGAACCAATTTGTAAGCTAGACTTGTGAAAGTGAAGTGGCACAAATTGGTTAATCTGTCTGGTAACCCCATTTTCGCCAAAATCATTAGTATGTATCAGACGATTGCGATGGCGCCTGAGTTCACCTAGTGAAAAGAACATAGTATAAGTTCACTGCAAACTCAACTGTTGACTTCATACACATTTGCGGTCTCGTGAGCAAGCAAGCACACTCCTACAAGTGTGAGCTCAAGTACTTACCTACAAATGTATGTTAAGTAGACTGTTAGTTTGCAGTGTTTCCTCTGAGTCGAACTTAGGCCGTCATAGGGGCAAGTTCACTTACTCCTTAATTTGTCCACGGCCCTTTGCGAATTATCAGTGGGAGCTCTGGAAACCCTAGTGTGTACTTGAATGCAGTATCTCCTGCATACCTACATGTGTGCAAGAGATCCTGTGTACTTGGCAAGTATGCAGGAGGTAGTGTGTACTTGGTCAAGTACACACAGACACTAAGTCTCCTTGCATAAATGTATGGAGGTTTTAGCGTGAACTTGACCAAGGACACACTACCTCCTGCATACTTGACCAAGTACACACTGTCTCTTGCATACTTGACCAAGTACACAGGACCTCCTGCATACATGTAGGTATGCAGGAGATACTGCATTTAAGTACACACTTGGGTTTCCAGAGAGATCTGTTCAATCTAGATCAAACTCAATAAAAAGTCACAAAATATAAAGGACTATCCGTAAAACGAAGTCTGAGGAAATCCGGGCAGTCCATGCGCGAGTTCCTGCAGCGTGCGACCGGTAGGCAACTTTTTGGACCCATGCCTGCCACGGCAACTTCATGGGGAAGCGCGGTGCTCGCACTCAGAAAAGCGTCTCTTTTTGGTGGAAACAAAATCATGTTTGCACCGTAACCAACACATATTTGGTCGCACCAAAAAAGTAACTCTTCAGCTCAACAAGACTTATCAAATTTGATAAAAACTACGGCGCGAGGTACAAGAAACTTATCCTTATAGGGTGTCGTTGTGGTCCATTTAGAATTAAAAATTGTAAATTTACAATCACTGGGTATCGACTAGAAATCCGATAAGAGTGCGATGTACATCATATTTTGTAAATAGTAAATTACAAAATGTATTGTACATCCACGAAAATATTTTTAGAGTGTTCATATCACAAAATTTTGGTTCTTGTATAAAACTACTTTTGCTAAAGAAGCGATCTTCTGTGTGCGCCCTCCGGCGCCCTTGGGTTGGTGCCACACGAGCTTTTTGGGCAAGAAGAGCTCTAACGTCAGCCATTTTAACTATTGTGTTCGTAAAACAAACTTCACGTCCCCATACTTAGCTGTTGAAATAATAAAAATGCCTTGTACTTCTCTTTTGATCTGGCTTGTATTAGACAGATTATTTTTTCGTAACAAATGCAAATTATCTGTGCTTTCCTTACAACTCTAGTAACTTCCCGCGACACACTGGTGGAACCACAGCTGTTCTAGCTCTAGATCTCTAAGCGTTGCACTGGGGCCAGTAGCAGAGCTGGACGCTAATAGAAAGATTCCGTTGTGCATAGCGCACGGAGAGCAAATGGTAAAACCGCACAATATTTTAATAACGCCGTTTATGTTTGTGTTTGAAAACACACATATCGTTCTCTTTTTCTGCAGTAAAGTAACACAGTACCAAAAAAGAATTCCGCCAAACAAAGCTTTGTAGTCAAAAACACTTTGACCTTAACCTTTTAAACCTTATAACTGCTTTATTTGTAAGACGCCAGTATTTTATTTTCAGTTTGAAAAGACTCTGGACAACACAGGTGATAACAATAACTTTTGTAGGTGGAGGCACAAACAGTCACAGGCAATTGAACGCCAGCCACAGTGAGGACTCAGTGGCTGATACGGCGCTGTCTAAGAAGAACTCGGATGGTAAGTCCGGTGATCCGAGGCGCCGTTGTCCACCACGCCGTTCATGTTATGACTGTTGGCTCGTTGATTGTGTTTGCCCTGCCTGTGACATTCGCTCCTGCGAGACAGAACAGCCGCGAGTTTGTGTCAATGTTATTACTACCTTTGCGTGGCTTTGTCAAATTCCATGCAGTTGGCTCATTCGCAGATTCGCGTACTTTATTTTATCTTTTTCTGCCTCGCAAACGCACTTGTTAGATACTATTGTATTTTGAGAGAATGTCTATGTAGCTTGTGTTGGCTGCGTTTCTCTGTCGTTGTCATAGCGCTGCTAGCATGTGCATCACGTGTCCATAGGTGTATTAGGTGCAGGACTACCTACATTAAAAGCAAAACTACACCACTTTAGTGAACCGTGTGGAGAATTACGAATGTTTGAACAACTTCAAAACCACAACTCTGAATGAACTCCCAACTCAACTTACTCACGCCCATCTGATATCTTGCTTAGCTGACTTCAATTGGGCTACTACAGGCGAAACATTGCATATTACCGGAGTCCAGTCCGTGTTAGGTGGAGTCGATCTTACGCATAGCCCTGTGAATGAGAGCTGGGATGTGCTTCGCTGCAGCGGCAAGTGCAGTTACACCGCGAAGAGCCGACTACTATTACGAAATCATGTTCTTAGATTCAGCAACTCCAGATTCAATAACTAATCACGATGCTCTGCTCCTGATAGTTTTACTTAATGCACCCGCCCACGTTGCCACCCCCACCGCCCCATTTCCCCCATCCCCGGTTTTCTTCAACTCCAGCATGTACGTACTCTGGTTGCAGACCCTTCAATCCATTCAAACCTGCGTGCGCAAATCCGCCCAAGGCAAATGTGCTCGACTTCGAAACAAGTACGCCACTACGAGTGTCAGCGAGTTCACGTTGAACACATCTGATATATCCAGAGTTCAGTCTTCCAAATTAAAGATGAAATGATTATCGCAGTACACACGTAATAGGTTCAGAGCAACTAAAAAGTGACAACAGACACAGTGTTCACACCGCGGAGGTTATGTCTGCCCCCAGACGGTAGTGCTAGGATGGCCCAGCGCCACTTCAGCGAGCTGCAGCTCAGTCCTCGCCGCTGCTCGGGGCCTGCGGGTACGACCGCCGCAGGTGCCACCGTGCTCAAGATGGGCGAGGCCACGGCTCTTCCGCTGGTGCTCTGCGGGCTTCTGGATCATCAGGACGACGACGACGAGGTTACCGGCCGCTTTCCAACAGCGCTAATCTTCCACCCAGGAGCGGCCGTCGGCGGCGGCCCCAAACAACGAAGTACGGGCAGCGAGGGGCGGTCTTGGTGATGACTAAAGTAGAAAGTAGAGCGTACCCGCGCGGACGTGCGGCATGTTCGGGACGGCCGGAAACAGACGCATCAGTTCGTACATTCGGACGGTGAACAAACCTGTAAATTTGCAATCACAATCGATTTTGATCGTTCAGCACGAGTTATCAGTAATGTGCCTTCCGTCATTTACTTGAACAGTCCACTATGTACACTGTGAGAAATATATTTGTACAGGTACGATATATTTTGTAATTTGCCATTTACAATACGAGTCGTACATGTACAACCTCCCGCTGTCGCTCGATATTCGATTCCAAGTCGATACATAGGGCTAGTAAATTGTACAATTTTAGATTGTACTTGTACGACTTCTTCCATGGAAAATTTTCCTGTACCCGGTACGACAATTTTTCACAGTGTACACTATGAACATTGCTTCAATCGGGTTGGATTTGAGAACATAGCTAATGTTTGGTTGCCAGATGCACATTCGTCACTAGTTTCGGACGA